AGGTCTAACATATTGCAACAAGGAAATTTTTCACTATAAAAACGACATGTAAAGATTTTAACTCGTTGAAAAAATGTATGGAGTCTAAACTGTAAATGATGTTTCTAAATACTCTTTCCGAATTAATTGAGACAAGGATGTCGTTGATACAAATTAGAATTAAAAGAATGAATGGGTCTGTAAACACGGCTGCTGTATTCAAGTGTCCAATCGTTTCTTAATATATGTCTTACCTCAATGATAAAACCAATTTTATTTGCTAATTGAAAATTAAGCTGAATAAAATAATTTAAGACAGCAGAGAAGATAATTCTGTTTTGATTGTTTATTACTAAGACTTAAATAAAGAGTGAGCTATTTATACTGTAAATTTGTGATGTCTCTAGTCTGGTCAAAGGGTCAGAGTGTCCTACTTAACCAAACGATAAATTGTTGAAATTAGATAACATGTTTTCACGTGCAGAGAAATTTCACTTATGACCAGTGCATGATTGGATTACATCTTTCTTATTGGTCAATGATCTTGCGGGGTCAGCACGAGTTCACGTGTAAGTGCGTTGTGGTCAATTCCTTTTATCATCAGCATTTAATGTGTTAACTTGTGATTCTTATCAAACAATTTGTTAAAAATTCCCACCCACATACGTACCTCCCTAAATGTTATCTTTTGAAGTAGATATGTATATATGTTTATTGGTGGGGCAGATTTTTCTCCCCACCTTTGCTATTCTTTGTCATTTATTCAATTGATATGATATTAGTTGATGTAATTTCGTATTAATTATGTATTATTATTTCATATTAAATATGAACTTTTATGTCAAATGTTTTATTTGCAAAATGTATTTTTTGCATTTTATGATTTTGAATAAATGACCTTTTTTTCGTCAGTTTAGTTTTTATATCATATAGCAAATCAAGCTCAGACTCTGGCCTGTGTATACCTAGTATGATTATGGTATCTAGCTGTCTGTCTTAAATATGGTGTTGTCCCTGAAGATAGAGACTGGAACAACATCGCACTACATCACATTACATAAATTGCATGATTACAAAATTAGGTATTGTCAATTCAAAAAGAAACTCCACATATGCATTCACGACACTAACCGAAGAGGACATTCTGACCAATCATAGCTCGACCTATGTTCCTTTGGAATTTTAACGAAACATGTAGTAATTCGTCTTCCTTCAATGTACTGGATACCAAAATTACTTAGGTGTTCTTACAAACTTCATATTACTGAGTCTACCAATTGTTACACTAAACCTCTTTTCTTTGCATTAGCATACCCCATTCCAAACTCAAAGACAGATCGGAAAAAGTTCTACGGTGTTCATAAAAAGAATGGTCAACGTAGATACAAATTTCTTTTTTGAGGAAGGGATAAATCATATGCATGCATCATACATACTTATAAAAAAACACTCGGATTGAAACAAAATATTCTCTAAAACTGACATGACTCGGACTTCTTTTAAACTGAGTTTTACTGTTCGTATTGCTATGTGTTTCTTTATTCTACATTGGCTAGAGGTATAGGGGGAGAGTTGAGATCTCGCAAAACATATTTAACCCCTCCGCATTTTTGCGCCTGTCCCAAGTCAGTAGCCTCTGGCCTTTGTTAGTCTTGTATGTTTTTTAATTTTAGTTCATTTATATGTTTTTGAGTTTAGTGTGACGTCCATTTTCACTGAACTAGTACACAATTATATTTAGGGGCCAGCTGAGGACCACCTCCGGGTGCGGGATTTTCTCGCTTCGTTGAAGACCCATTGGGGGCCTTCGGCTGTTTTCTGCTCTTTGGTAGGGTTGTTGTCTCTTTGACATATTCCCCATTTCCATTCTCAGTTTTATTATCAAGATAATTGATCTTTTAATTGACAACATGTTTGTAACGTTTGAAAGACGTGTTTTTCAATAAATAATCGGCATTACTATGGGAACGAAAAGTGCTATTCTTTTCGATTTCCCCCTTTCATATGTGGAAGTCTCATCTAAACTTTACGAAAAAAAAGATGATTTCAGCTTCCCAATTTTGAAATTTTCATTTGTATGTAGCAACATTCCAGCAGCGAATGTATATGGAGTTTACATCTTCAGTTAATACGATATTTCTTGCAATTCCTATCATGATTTCCTTGATACAGGGGTGCTGCTTACAAAGAAGCTATTGAACCAATAGTTTCAAGTGATGAAGTGGAAATCATTCCTTCGAAAATTATACGGACGTCATCACGAGTTCGTTTACCGTTATGGAATATTTGTTTCACAGATGACGACGGATATGTTCCAATTGTCGTAACCACAATCCCGTCCTCTTTTCTCCGGATGTGACCTACCGAATTACACCGGGTTCGTACTTATATGAGCAAGACAACGGGTACCACTAGTGGACCAGGATCTGCTTACCCTTCCGGAGCACTTGAGATCACCCCGGTTTTTGGCGTGGTTTGTGTTGCTCAGTCTTTAGTTATCTATGTTGTGTTTTGTGTACTGTTGGGTTTTTTTTCGTCGTTTTTCGTTTTTTTGCCATGGTATTGTCAGTTTGTTTTCGACTTTTGAGTTTGACTATTCCTTTGTTTTTTTCGCCTATATCTCAGATAGGAGCTTCTCGTAAAGAACGAAAAAAGACAGCTTTTTCCTTTAACTTCACATTCCACGATATAGATGATGTTCTCTGACTAATTAATTTAAAGATTGGTGACTTTGTTGAATCTATCTCAATGCTCTTCAACATCGTACTTTATTTGGCCTTTTTAACTTTTTTGATTCGAGCATCACTAATGAGTCTTTTGTAGACGAAACACGCGCCTGGCGTACAAAATTGTAATCCTGATATCTATAGTGAGTTTATACAGAACTAGAAATAAAGGTTACAACAAATACAAGTAGATATGCATCAAATCTTGAAATCTAGAAATTTACAATGAGAGTCAATTGAGAAGAGACTTTACGACAAAAGGGATGATTTAGTTTCCAAATTGTGAACTTTCCATTTCTATATAGCAACATTCCAGCAGCTAATGTATACGGAGTATATTTCTCTCAGTTGATAAGATAATCCATAGCTTGCGTTTCCTATCATGTATTTGTCTTTGAAAGAAGGGTTGCTGCTTACAAGGAAGCAATTGCATTAAGGGTTTGAAGTGGTAAATAAGAAGTTATCCCTACGAAATTTTTCGGAAGCCATCACGAGTTGTTTGAATGTTATGGAATATCTGTGTTACAAATAACCACGGATATGTTCCGATTGTTGTAACCACAACTCCGTTCTCTTTTCCTCAATTGTGAAATCACAGAATGAATTATATATCAGTTTTTTCCACGAGGCATTTCCGACTCATTCTGGGTCCCTACAGATTTTGATTCATGAGATCATTACATTAAAAACTGCAAAACAATTACTTTACCATGTTTTTCTAATAAAGACGAAATTCCATATTGATTATTTTAAATATCAACTGATTTCAACAAAGATATAAAACAACAAAGCTGTTGTGTGGAAGTAGAAATATATAACCCAATAAAGACGTGACATCTAATCACTAATTTTAAACGAGTAGGTTATTTTCCAATAATAATAATAATAATAATAATAATAATAATAATAATAATAATAATATTGATAATAATAATAATAATCATAAAAAAGTAACCTTCTACAATGATTCAGGAAATCCAGTTATTTTCATATGTTTACAATCTATGCTAGTATCCTGTGTTTGTCTCATGTTTTCCCTCAAACTTGTATTATTCCATAGCCATCCGATAAAGATGTAGGCATATGTAAAACATTATGTTTCTATGTACAGATTATTATTCTTTAATGCCTCAACCTGTCAGGTATAATTATTAGAATAAACTGTTTATTTTACCATACTACTACACGAGGAATTGGTTGTATTAGTCGGGCAGATATTCGGTTATGTTTCTTTCTCCTAAGTAACTTGGTTCATATTTACAAAAGAAACTCAAAATCAGTTAATTGACCTGATGTATATCTCTTGTGTTATTTTGTGTTTAGTTGCCAGTTGATGTTTTATGGATGTAAATTAACGTCTCTTTCCATTCATAAAATCAGAGACACAGTTAAAAAATCGAACTATAACAGGTTCCTTAATTACCTTGATGAATTTCCATTAGGAAAAGAACTTAAGTTTTAAAAATGAGGGGGGAGATATCAAAGGGATAATTTGTTTAAAAGTCATTAGTCGACCAGAGACCGAAAAAAACACATGCAGATAAACAAATGACGTAAAGACAAACAACAGTATGCAAAACACTAGATAAAAACAAAAAAAATGAGCAAATAAATTAAAAACTGAACAAAGAGAAACCCCACCAAAAAACCGTGGGTGATCTCAAGTGTTCCGAAAGAGTAAGCTGAGTTCCTGCTCTGCATGTTACTAATGGTAAGTACAAATTCATTAAGTATATTTCGGTGATGTCACAATATAGAAAAAAGGACATGAATTGGAATATGTCGATGGTCATCGTTTCCTGCTATAAAGTTGCATAGTAGCTCGGAAGGCTAGTTTCGATTGCTGATTCATTCGATAGATTTTAAATATTTTGAAAGATTTCGTAGGGTATTTGTAGTTTTCACACACATTGTACATTTTAAATTTGCAGTTTTTCAAACGTCATGTGTAAAGTGGCAACTAAGAAAAACTCTATTTGCTATATGTTTAGTGATATAAAGCTTTTTCAGTCATAAAATTAAATAATAATCAAGGACAATCACATTATCCCTGATGATCGAAGGTGAAACCGGTTGGATAATGGACGTTATCGTTACATTTTCTGAAATTAAATTATGTAATTTAGAATATAAATTATCGGCATGTTTACAAATTTTAATTATATATATTTGGTCTCTGGTGGAGAGTTGTCTCATTGGCAATCATACCACATCTTCATATTATATATCATTTTCAAGGTGTGTTTTAAGCAAGGAATGATATTTCACATTTTGATTTTATTTATTAATATTCGTCATTTTCCACAGCCTTCTATTTCAGGACCACAACCGGCTACCAAAGCACGTCTGACCACTTGTAATAAGTCATTATCTCTAGATTTCTGTAAAAAAAAGAAGGGAAGTTATAATATTATATTGACCTTCTGAAATAATCTGATAATATAAACTGCTTTAATGTCCTACTTCCTTAGAAATCTATTACACTTAAAATGAATACACGCAGGATATTTGCTTCAAAGCAAAATATTTAAATTAGCTTTCAATATTTATTATGGTCAAGTGTTATAAATCCTCGATGTTTTCTCAAATACAGTTAATATTATTCAATGTATCTACACCATTCACCGAAGTGTTTCTTCTGCATTGATTTTATGCCACTAGTTCACTTCTAATGTAGAGTATGTAATATTTATTGTTTGTTCTCTAGCTGGAATAATTTAGATCTGAATGCCTGCATACTTCCCTAGTGTTTGCTGAACTTCAATAATATCTATTTGTTTGAAATTTTAAAGTCTCTATGTTAGCACATCTACATGAGGTGTACTGAACATATAATATAAAATTGAGAATGGAAATGGGGAATGTGTGAAAGAAACAACAACCCGACCAAAGAGCAGAAAACAGCCCAAGGCCACCAATGGGTCCTGAACACACCGAGAAAATCCCGCACCCGGAGGCGGGCTTCAACTGGCCCCTAAACAAAAATGTGCACTAGTTCAGTGAAAATGGACGTAACACTAAACTCCGAAACATATAAATGAACTAAAATTAAAAAAACATACAAAACTAACAAAGGCCAGAGGCTCCTGACTTGGGACAGGCGCAAAAATGCAGCGGGGTTAAATATGTTTTGTGAGATCTCAACCCTTCCCTATACCTCTTGCTAATGTAGAATAAACAAACACACAGCAATACGTACAGTAAAACTCAGGTTAAAAGAAGTCCAAGTCCGATGTCAGAATAGGTAACAGAAGAAAATAAGCAAAATGTTAATATAAGTTTACCTCAATACTTTTATTTTTTTGTCTGTATGTATTAAGGTCAAAAAGAGGCAAACGATACAGAGAAAAATAAAAAAAAAAACTGAAATCCAAAAGAAACTGACACCATTAGGGCAAAGAAGACGACGAAAAATAAGTCCGTTAAGCACTGCATTGAAAATTAAAAACTCAGCTACACGAACCAAACCAAAAACTTGGGGGTAATCTCAGGTGCTCCGGAAAGGTAATCAGATGCTGCTTTTTTTAGTGGTACCCGTCATGCTGCTCATGGTGAGTAAAAATTCGGTGATGTCACACTCGGGGAAAAGAGAACGGGATTGTGGTAAACACAATCGGAACATATCCGTGGTCATCTGTGACACAGATAATCCACAATGAACAACCAACTCGTGGCACGCCCATTACTTGTTTTAAGAAGGGACGACTTTAATTCCATTTTAGGTTAAATTTAAATTCAGCAAACACAAGGGTTAAAGAAAAATATCTAGACATACGAATTTCATAAAGACTTGAAAAATGCAATTACATCTAAATTGAGAGTTCAGCAAACAGCAGATTGGTATGCTGGCATATAAACCTGATCAATGCATATAGGTAACAACGACAAAAAATAGAATTTAAATTGAGCTATATAATAATTGTTTTTTTTATATCTTAAATGATTTAATTAATTGGTAAAACACGACTATCTTGAATGAAATAAACAATGATGCTGCTTAATTAAGAAATATGGATTAAAATGAAAGATGGTAATAAGTACGTTTATACCGAGTTATGTTGCATGTTAAAATTTGATGGTGTAATCTTTATTTCAGTCAGTAAACGTGTCTTTTGCCTGTTCAGAATATCTTTTTTTGTTTGTTTGAAATAAGGAAATTCTTACTCATTGAACAAGTGAAATCCATATTAAATCTTCAATGTCCTAAGATTGGAAGCCATGCTTTTTGTATACCAACACAAGAGGAAATTAATTAGAGTACATAATTCTAAATTGCCAGTCTCAGTAAAAAACGATCACATATAAAGTATTTATTTCCTATAATCAGCTAGTTATATCACAAGATTGCCATTTAAATAAAACGCATATAGTAAAATGAACCATCCAGCAGATGTAAAATGGAAGATACGAATAACAATTGTTTAACTACAGTTCCGAAATAAACTAAAAAAAATATTGTACCAAAATTGTTTTGAAGTCATATCTTAAAACTTCTCAGTTAAAATTCCCCCGTTCCCCATCTGCATTCTGTTAATTTTAAACGACCAGTACATGTGAATAACAGATTTTATAGGAATGACAGAATTGATAATCCTTTTTGTCAAATAGTTTTCAAATTGTTACATAAGGAAACGATTAAATAAAATTCCTCTTTGGTTACAGATTTAGTCTTGTTTGAACATATTTAGTTTGAAGAAAGTGGGAACATCGACTACATAAAGTTTTTAGTAATTTAAAATCAGATGTCAGTAATCAGACAAAAAGATGTATCTCCGAAGTCCAGGAGGGTTTAAAAAAGATTTCAGACAGAACTTCAATTAAGAATTGAATGCTTCTTTTTGTAAATTTATTGTGGTGTAAAAGCGTTGACCGAAGTACATTTTGTCATTCTAAAAATGTGCACACGGTCAACGCTTTTACAACCCCATAAAATTACTAAAAGAAGCATTCGATACTTATAATTACATTTTTTTGCTAGGATCATGAAAACAAGATTTCTATTAAGTTTTTTCTTTTATTTATACCTGTGCACTTTATTGTGGAAGCTCGTGTCATCATGAATTTTACATTTCATTTAGAAATGAAGGTTGATTTCAGAATGACGCGAGATTGCTGTTAGCCGATCAAAATAACGTATTATAATGAAACATACAAGTAATGTAATTATTACTAATTGTTATAGAACATATACAATTGCCGGTTTTGAACTTGTAGTCGTATAATCGCATATTAATTTCTCAAATTTTTTTGAAATAATGAATAAATATACATAAAACAAAATATTGATACGAATACACTGCGAAGTGATTCCTTATATTTACCTGTTGGTATAACTCATCTGTATTTCGTTTCGGCAATTCGAAAGAACCAATCTGATCATTTTCGTCAAACATGTATGGTGAATCATGCACATCATCATAGATATATAGAACCTTTAATTAAAGTGATTGAAATTTAAAGAAAAAAAATATTTATCATTCACGTTAGAAATAAATAATTATGGTTTAAAAAAAAACCACGCCAGATAAACCATCAGATCTCAACCAAAATGATAAGATATAAATGTGGGGTTCTGCTTTGTGGCACCGTTAAAGTCCACAATTCATATAAAGTCTACAACACCGTTAAAGTCCACAAAATGTCTTCCGCTAAAGTCCACAAAAAAACAAGCCAAAGTCCACAATAACAAGTTCGGCTAAAGTCTACAAAAAACACCGTAAAAGTCCACACATTTTTTTTTTATTATTAAAAAATCAATTTACTTTTTTTTTATCCCGGTAGTACAACTTTATTCCGGTAGTACAATAAAAAGCATGGACTGTTGTTCTTGGTAGTTATTTTTTTTATCAGTTTGAACATATGTTTGATAAATAAAAAAAAAACAGTATCTGTAGAAGATTTTGTTCCATTAATTTGATCTTTGTATTGTGATGATCAGATCAGTAAATCAAACAGGCCAATTTGGACAACATTTCTGAAAAGTTATCTAACCGTAGTACATTCGTTAGTTAATACAACCAAGATGGCCACCATTGCTGAAAAAAAGACAATTCGGCAATGGATTATTAAAATTTTTGCACGAAGCTTCAGTAGGGCGGGCGTGAAGATTTTAGTCTAAAGAAATGCATATCCATGGGGACCGAGCACTAGAGGCCCAAAGTTAAGACTATTCTACTTAAACTATGTGTTTCCTTAAAACCAGCAATAAGCTTATTTAGGTCAAGTGATCGATACAAGTTTAATGTCACATGATCCTCCAGTTTTGATAATATTTAGATATATATATATGTTGTACAGAATTTTTGTCGTTTATTAAATCTTAATGTTAATTTCTTACTTTTTTGTTTATTATCAATTCCCATAAAACAAAAAAAACGAAAATAATGTTGATCGCCTTTCCTATCCTTGATACCAAACAAATCAATGGGTGGAACTAAGACACGAGAAGCCACTTTGATTTGTTTAGTCTTTCCTGACAAACTTGAAATCAGGGTAATGTTTATTTTAGTGTTGTCAATTGAACAGTTTTGCCTTCCAGGTTACTCGGATCATCGTTCGACCTATTAACTGGTTAACCGGAAGTAAAGTTGGTGTTCAAAGGTCTTGCGTAAAGTACTCTACATATGCATGGTATTATAGTCTGATGATTTTCTCATCTAAATCTTAAACCTAGTTTATGCAAGTTCAACCAATATCCATAAGGAGTGTTTTGATCAAACTTGCATCTTCAAATTGTTTTTACAGGGACCTACAACATATACATGTAGCATTGTTGAAATAAAATCTTTAAAACTAGTACTCATCATGGTAAAACACAATGCAGAACAGCATCCGCGTATATTTTTTCAATCATCTTCAACTCATTCTGAAACAAATACTTTTCCTTGCTGAAAACCAAACAAACATTCAAACCAATGAGTGATCGAAATCTGCTTAGCACCACACAGTGCATGTGTAGATTTGTTTTATTTATTATCATTTTGATTTCAAACAAGAACATTATGGTTTAAAGTATATTTTTGAGATTTATAGACCGTTTTGGCTGCTGTGGAGCCTAACAGAAACTGAATGGATTTCGTTTTTATGTTTATAGGTATTTGCAAAGGAATTTCCAATGTCAAATATAGGCTCCAAGATATGTCAGTGTCTCTAGCATATACACAAAGAGAACGCTATGTCTTTCTAGTGGATATAAAAATAGTTACTAAAGAATACAAAAAGAGCACCATAGCTAGATAACTTTTCAGAAATGTTGCCTGTTTGATTCACAGAAAATCACAATACAAAGATCAAATTTATGGGGATCAAAATCTTTTACAGACACTGTAATATTTTCATTTATCAAACATATAATTCAAGCTGATAAGAAATAACTACCAAGTACAAAAGTCCATGCTTTTTATTATACTACCGGGATAAAAAAAAAAGCTAATTGTTTTTAAATAAAAAAAAATGTGTGGACTTTAACGGTTTTTTTTGTGAACTTTAGCGGAACTTGTTATTGTTGACTTTAACGGTGTTTTTGAGGACTTAAGCGAAGGACATTTTGTGGACTTTAGCGGAAAGTTTGTGAACTTTAGCCGGCGTTATGGACTTTAGTGGAAATTTGCTGTGGACTTTAGCGGTGTTGTGTACTTTAGATTAATTGTGGACTTTAACGGTGCCACACTGCTATTTCTTGAAAAAAACCCATATTAATGTAAGGAAATTACGTTTCTCTTTCATCAAATTATTGTAACAGGGGCCTCGGTGGCCGAGTGGTCTAAGTAGTTACTACTGTAATCACTAGCCAGTCAACACTGAGGTTGTGAGTTCGAACCCCACTCGTGCCGGTGCACTCGACTCCAATCTTAATTGACTAGGATTGTCAGTTTTCCTATCGAAGGTCGGTGGTTTTCTCCGGGCACTCCGGCTTCCTCCACCAATAAAAGCTGGCCGCCACGAAATAGCCCAAAAGCGGTGCTTAAAAGTGGCGTTAAAACACCAAAAATCAAAAATCAAATCAAATTATTGTAAACCTTTAGTTTTGTTTTATAGTGAATTTGTTGTTTGTCATGCTATAGATAATGATAGCTGAATCCTTATTATAACATTTCTAGACTTAAGTAATAATAACTTCGTTTAGACTGACTACAGTATCAAATGAATGTTAATGCGATATGCCATGATATTATTAACCTAGTTTACAAATCTCGAACCGCGTCACCAAAACAAAAACTTTTTTTCATAAATCTATCATTTCAGATTTGTTTTTCAGGGGCCAGTTTATCGAGGCAGTCTTATGGCATATATTTGTTCTTAGTCGGTTTTTCAAACGTGTCGCAATTTTAGATTTTCCATAGAACATGCTTTTGTCAGGGACAATTTAAACAATTCTAAATGAGAACCAGTCTCTAAGTATTTGATAAAAATATATGATTTGAATTAACATAAAACTAATGAAAATATTATATATGGACTAAAATATTGTCTGCTCAAGACTATGATTGGTTTGTGTAACAGCCAGTCCTGCTGATAATGACGAAGGACAGTACACAACTCTTTACATGCAATATTAGGAACTTACCTTATACGGAAAACTTCCTACACTGTAGAACAAAATAACCACTACCATAAGTTGTAGAAGATTCGTTGTATCCATACTATTGTTCAACTCAAGCTTTTTTTACTCTTTAATCTTCCACCACTTAACAGTACTCGTCATTTAAAGCTCAGAGTGAAATCATTCAACTAAAATATCTGATATATTGATTGAACAAATTTATAAAGTGTAAAATTACAATCGTCACTGGAACAAAATGGTACTATTTTATACCGTAGGTCTTATCTATGGCAATTTTCTAATTGCAATATCAATATAAATTCCGATTGAAATTAAACATTTATCAGAGCCTTTGGTCAAAGTGTCTCCTGGCAAAGATTCTCGTAGCTTTATTCAACGACGTGTAACAAATCCATGACACAATCTCATATTTATTCCTTACGAAAGGCATTGTAGATTTGCACTCTTAAGTGTGTTTTTAGTTCAATTAATGTTATTTGAATCAAAAAGATAAACATATAAACTATACGAAAAATTAAGAAAATAATGCTTTTTAATTTCAATCTTTGAGAATGATTGTCAATGATCAAATATTTTTGTGTAGGAATACATACAGCCTGTCGACGAAGTTTATTGCTGAAACGTACATAGAAGTGGCATATGCGAAAATTAACATCTTTTAAAATCTCATCACAGCACAGTTACAGTAAGAACATTTAGCATATATACCTTTTTCATTACAGAAGAGGGCTTTACGCGTATGGTCGGACCATATGAGTATATACTCGTTTGGTTATTAACGGGCTGAACCATATGAGTATTTAGACCATATGGGTATTTTTCGAATAAATTCAAACTTTCTTAACAGACGCAGCTCGTTCTCTGAACCAAAATCGGCACAATTTATCAACTGAAATCCTTTATCTTTGTTACATATTGTCTGAATCTTGGTATATTTGTTGTCTTCTCTTCGCTATCTAGTGTCAATTCTAAGCACCTTTATCCTGTCGACAGTTTTGTCCGTACGTGAAACCACAGGTGTTTGGAGCATGGACATTTTTTTTCCCTGGCGTTTAGATTAGATTTCTTTGATTTCTTCTAATTTCCACTTATTTTCACTTAACTGATGTGTTCGTACTCCTATTCATACGATCTTACAATAACAGTGGTTTCTATATAAAATACGATCTTACAATAACAGTGGTTTCTATATAAAATATGAAAACAACACGTTATAGAGTTCATGCGTCCGAAGCGCTTTTCTGGATTTACCTTCATCAGGAACGCCCAAAGCCGAATATTTCAAAGCCAGGGATGTATAAGGACCGAAAACGTTGATAAGAATAGAGGGGCAGCTCGTTTAAATTACTGTAATTGTAAATCGTATACAGAGGAGCATGAACAAATTTTAAAATAACTAAAAATAATTTGAAATGTTTAAGAAATTTTAATTTACAAAAAACAAGTTGAAACACCAAAATAATGAGTAAAACAGTTGATTTCTTGCTTTTAGGGATAGAACCACTAATTCAGGCCCGGACGGAAAGAACATACAAGAAAGTAGTACATATTTTAAACAAAATAGTTCCTACGCATAGCTGTATCTTTGTCAATAGTGGGAATATTTGGGTAGTTTTAGTATCAAACGAAAGCTTGGGGACTTGGGATGACTGTAGAACCCTTGTTGAAAGTTTTATTTGAATAATAAAGAAGTATATGAAATTTAAATAGGAGGGCTCATTTGGCCTGTTGTTCAGATAAGAAGTTCCTGTTTTTGTACTATCAAACTTCCGGGAACCAGTACGCTCTAATATGCAATTAAAGGTATGTTGATTTTTTCAGCACAAGTCAGGATAAGGTACAGTTTTGACATGAAATAACTGCCACTTTATTTGAACTTAAGACATAGTAGCCATTAATGCTTGAAATTGCAGAATTTAACATAGAAAACAATGGGGCTATGAATTAGTGGTTTTATACCTTTTAAAACAGTCCATGTAGTTATTTACTGACTCTTATTTCAATAATCACGTAACAATGATTACCAAATTATTTTCTAAATTTAAAATTTTATTTTTAGAAACTTTCAACTATGACACCTTGAAGAGTTATCATATGCCTTAATCAATAACTGTTCAACGTTCATCGTATTAAATACCCGGACCATACGCGTATGGTCCGGAACAGACACACTACTTTGTCTCCGGTATGGACACACACTTCTTTGTGAGGTTTGAAATAAAGAGACGGAATGTACCAAGGGGACATTCAAACCTCATAAGTCGAAAAAAAACAGCTGGACAATTGGAACATACCCGTGGTCATCTATAGCACAGATATTCTATAACGGTCAACCAAGAGATGGCGTCCATAAAACTTTAGAAGGGATGAATTCAACTTAACCACTTGGAACCATTGGTACAATAACTTCTTTGGAAGCAGTACCCCCTTTATCAAGGGAATCCTGATAAAAAAAACCCAAGCTCTTAAATATCATATCAACTGGAAGATATATAACCCATATTCGATATTTCGATCCTTTTCCAGAAAGTTTATAACCCCTCCGTTTTGATAAAGGTTGGGACCCTACAAAAATATGCCATGGGGTCATATTTAATCTTCGATGTTTCAAAATCTGATAATGAAGGAGAATTTGTATTCTATTGTACTTTTCTTCTATAATATTTACTTTAAAGCCCCAAGTTCTATCATAACTGTTATATACAGTCTAAATGTTTGTATAGTTTGCTTTTTTCTTACCTGTTCATCTATATGCTCTGATTGCAGTAATTGTTTTTCTTACCTGTTCATCTATATGCTCTGATTGCAGTAATTGTTTTACTTCTATATGCTCTGATTGCAGTAATTGTTTTACTTTGACGAGAGGATCAATCATATCTTTTTTTGGTTCATGATTTTTAGGTTCCGACAAATATTCATATAAAGACTATAAAGAAATAACAATAAATTGATACTTTTAGACTCTTTACTTAAAAGAAGATAAAAAGCGTTTGTAACCACACCAGTCATTTGGTTTAGTGAGAAAATGAGTCATGAGGGGCAACTTAACAGAGGTTATGTATGTTAATTGATTGTGAGGTAAAACAAATTTACATATCGAAAAAAATTGCTTCAAGATAAGTATTGATTCGATAGATTTTCCAGTATTACAATATAATACAGAAAATACACTTGTGTGTCTGTTAAATTATTCATTAGAGTTAAGATATGTATGCATTATTGTCGATTCTACGACAATTATGTCGTAAAAGTGAGACATATCGATCCTAAATTTCGTCGTCGGCATCGTCAACACTTAGGTTCGGTCGGTGGTTAAATTTTTATTTAAGCATCAATAACTTTGTCAAACCTTCATGGATTTTTATCAAATCTGGAAAGAAGTTGGTTTATGACCAAAAGACAGTATCCTGATCAAAATTATAACATTACTATTTTCATTTTGCCGTATTTAACTTACAAATGGACTTAGTTTTCTTTTTTTGCAGTTATCATTCAGATTCAGTCCAAGGTTAAAGTTTTTCAGTGATCGATAATTTTGTCAAACCTTCATGGAATTTTATGAAAATTTTATAACCAAAAGACAGTATCCAGAGCAAAATTTTGAAAATGTTCATTTTCATTTTTCCGTATTTTTCTGATAAATGGACTTAGTTTTTTTACAGTTTACATTCAGAGTCAGTTTAAGGACAAAGTTTTCAGTGATCAATAACACTGTCAAACATTCATGGAATTTTATGAAATTTGTGCAGAGGCTTTTTTAAATTTTGAAAATAGATATTTTCATTTTACCGTATTTTACTGTCAGGGGTTAAAGTTTGTAACACGGCAATTACTCTGTCAAACCTTCATAGAATGCTATTAAACTTTGGCAGAAGCTTTTTTTTTTTTTATAATTAATAGATAATGTCTGAAGCAAAACTTTGAAATTTTTTTTTTCATTTTCAGTATTTTACTGATAGATGGAATTTGTTTTTTTGTCGTTAACATTTACAGACCGTCTAGGATTAAATTATTTCTACATGATTAATTAATTAACCTTCATGAATAGTTATGAAACTTGGACAAGAAGAAAGAATATGCCACTTATGTCATATAGGAATTGGCACTGAATTTCATTACCTTTTTGAGTGTCAGTTTCCGACAGTCGTAAAAATACGAAACAAACATATTCCTATTTACTTTACTAGATATCCATGTTATCAAAAAATGATAGGCTTACAAAAATGTATTGTCACTAAGTAATGTAAAAGTGTTAAAAAATCTAACACTTTTTATTAGTAAACTTAAGAACATTTTGTAAAATGATTGTTTAAAAATGTATTTTTTATGTTTTTTCCTTTGTTATACCCACCATTGTTTTGTATTGTTTGTATATATGCTTTGTATTGTTTGTTGTCTCTTTGACACATTCCCCATTTCCATTCTCAATTTTAAATAGTGTATTCCTCTTGTTACACGTATTTATTGTGTCTGAGTGATCAAATAAAAGACGTAAGTTGAAAGTTGGACAGAAGCTAATCTTCAAGATCAAGGAAAAGCATTTAAAGAAAAAGTTAGATTTTTTTTTTAATTTCTGTATTTTACTGATAAATAGACTTTTTTTTGCAGTCAGCATTACACTTTTTACACTGACAGCAGCAATCACAGACGAGTACTTTTTACGAATTTTTTATTTAATTTTTGAATTCGGTAAGTCCTCACGGGTCATCCCACTCGGTGTCATTTAAAATTGTTAAAATATCTGGAAAATGGTTAAAACCCAACCAAAAACGATTTATTTTCTTGTTTGTCATTTCAATATGAATTGATGATGTATAAGTTTAAAACTCTAGGGGTCATCTCTAGCTCCTTTCATTTGAGAATAGTGTTGAGATTCCCAGCCCTGAATAACATATTTGTTTCTGATATATAGGATAATATCCATCCTTTTCGTTGAGAATTTTCTATTATCTTAGAAATGGTAGAGATCCCCACCTTTAAACAATATATTTGCTTGTTTGTCATATCACGATGAAATGCATGATATATTGGATGACCCAGTAGGGTGATCCAATATCTGACATTTTAGAATATTTAAATATCTTGAAGATGGTCTAGATCTCAACCCATAAATGTCGAGATCTCAAAATGAGGGTATTTTAGAATTTTAATTGAAGTTTCGCTTTTGTGTTTCCATGAAATTTTTTTTATATCT